CAGTCTGAGGGGAGACACAGCCGCGCCCTCAGGGGGCCCCAGTCTGAGGGGAGACACAGTCCTGCCTCAGGGAGCCCCAGTCTGAAGGGACCCAGCCCTGCCTCAGGGAGCCCCAGTCTGAGGGGAGACACAGCCCTGCCTCAGGGAGCCCCAGTCTGAGGGGAGACACAGCCCCGCCCTCAGGGAGCCCCAGTCTGAGGGGAGACACAGCCCTGCCCTAAGGGGCCCCAGTCTGAGGGGGAGACACAGCCCTGCCCTCAGGGAGCCCCAGTCTGAAGGGACCCAGCCCTGCCTCAGGGAGCCCCAGTCTGAGGGGAGACACAGCCCCAACCTCAGGGGGCCCCAGTCTGAGGGGAGACACAGCCCTGCCCTCAGGGAGCCCCAGTCTGAAGGGACACAGCCCTGCCCTCAGGGAGTCCCGGTCTGAGGGGACATAGCCCTGCCTCAGGGAGCCCCAGTCTGAGGGGAGACACAGCCCCACCTCAGGTGCCCCAGTCTGAGGGGAGACACAGCCCTGCCTCAGGGAGCCCCAGTCTGAAGGGACCCAGCCCTGCCTCAGGGAGCCCCAGTCTGAGGGGAGACACAGCCCTGCCTCAGGGAGCCCCAGGCTGAGCGGAGACAGCCCCGCCCTCAGGGAGCCCCAGTGTGAGGGGAGACACAGTCCTGCCCTCAGGGAGCCCCAGGCTGAGGGGAGACACAGCCCTGCCCTCAGGGAGCCCCAGTCTGAAGGGACACAGCCCTGCCCTCAGGGAGTCCCGGTCTGAGGGGACACAGCCCTGCCTCAGGGACCCCCAGTCTGAGGGGAGACACAGCCCTGCCTCAGGGAGCCCCAGGCTACGGGGAGACACAGCCCTGACTTCAGGGATCCCCAGTCTGAAGGGACACAGCCCTGCCCTCAGGGATCCCGAGTCTGAGGGGACACAGCCCTGCCTCAGGGAGCCCCAGTCTGAGGGGAGACACAGCCCCGCCCTCAGGGGACCCCAGTCTGAGGGGAGCCCCAGCCCTGCCTCAGGGAGCCCCAGTCTGAAGGGACACAGCCCTGCCTCAGGGAGCCCCAGGCTGAAGGGACACAGCCCTGCCTCAGGGAGCCCCAGTCTGAAGGGACACAGCCCTGCCTCAGGGAGCCCCAGGCTGAGGGGAGACACAGTCTGGCCTCAGGGAGCCCCAGGCTGAGGGGAGACACAGTCCTGCCCTCAGGGAGCCCCAGGCTACGGGGAGACACAGCCCTGACTTCAGGGATCCCCAGTCTGAAGGGACACAGCCCTGCCCTCAGGGATCCCGAGTCTGAGGGGACACAGCCCTGCCTCAGGGAGCCCCAGTCTGAGGGGAGACACAGCCCCGCCCTCAGGGGACCCCAGTCTGAGGGGAGCCCCACCCCTGCCTCAGGGAGCCCCAGTCTGAAGGGACACAGCCCTGCCTCAGGGAGCCCCAGGCTGAAGGGACACAGCCCTGCCTCAGGGAGCCCCAGGCTGAGGGGAGACACAGTCCTGCCCTCAGGGAGCCCCAGGCTGAGGGGAGACACAGCCCCGACCTCAGGGGACCCCAGTCTGAGGGGAGACACAGCCCTGCCTCAGGGAGCTCCAGTCTGAAGGGACACAGCCCTGCCTCAGGGAGCCCCAGGCTGAGGGGAGACACAGCCCTGTCCTCCTTTAGCTCAGGGTCAGAGATGGGAGAGGGAAGTTTTGTCTTGGTTTTAAACTGAGAAATCAATGTAATGGCACCACTTTTGACTTTCTGTGTGATTTTGTGACGAACTAGCAACTTGAACACACGTCCGTGTGCTATAAAAACCCAGGAGTGATGTGCCTGCAGGTCCAGAGGGCTGTCACCAGTGGACAGCTTTGTCTTGGTAACAGCCTCAAGGTCAGCTGTCCCACCCTGGCCGCCTGCTCTTCTGAGACAGACCCCCTCCTCATCTCGAAAACCACTCAGCCCATGGGTTCTTTTCAAGAGCTTGTTCAACTCCTTCTTTGGTATCCACGGAACTTATGTAACTCACAGCTTCCAATTAACAATTAGAGCTGGTGAGCAAGAGCACAGAAGGAGACAAGGCTACGTGCAGCTGGCCCCTCTTCAGCTGTGGGGTTTAGATTTCCCTGATTTATTTTCCACAATTAGCAGCTGGCCTTCTCCCAGTGACTCTCCCAGGGCTCTTGTTGGGGCGGCCGTTGGCCAGGCCCAGGGACCAGCAGAGTGGACTGCAGGCACCGCTGCCCCTATTGGGATCACCGGAAAGGTCAGGCCTCTTGGTGATTGGACCGCCGGGCATTAATCATCACGCTCTTCATGGGGAGGGAGGGGAGCCAGGCCACACACAGGCCAAGGAAGAAAGGCCCAGGAAGGCCGATGCCTTTGCCAGCCTTTGCCATGCTCCTCGGTTTCTGGCCTCATTCTGACTCCTGAGCCTCAATGTCCACATCTGTTAAATGGGTGTGAACAGTGGGGCTTGGTGGTCCCTAGAGTCTGTTACACTTGGACTTCACTGTTTTTGCCTGCTTCCCTCCTTGCCCTGCTCTGGGACCTCCCCACACCCTGTCATTACCACAGTGGGGGGATTCATCACGACCTCCACCAGAGGCCAGAGTGATCAGCAAACATGCCACTGGTCAGTCTCATGATACTGGGTGAAGGGCTGCGGCCCATCTCTTTTAATCCTGGTCCAGCACTGTGACCCCAAGGACAGAGTAAACCTATAGACCAATGGGACTTTTGGGCCACAGTCCCTGGAACTCCTCTGAGTTGGCCTCTGGGCCTCACACTAGAGGGGCCCCCAGCACAGGGAGGTGAGTACATCCAGGAGGCTTGAGCGTGGCAACTGTTACACTTTTACTAAGCACCTGCTCTGAGCCAGGTCCTGGGTTGGAGGGGGTGGGGGTGACAGAGATGAGCGGGCAGATGTGGCTCTGCCCCTCATGGTGCTTAGAGGCCTGTCGTGGGCCCTGACATCGATCTGCCAGGTTTAAACCCTGGTCTGCTGCTCCCTTGGGTGAGGCACTTAGCATCTTAGCATCTTACGCCTTGATTTCTCCCTCTGTGAAATGGGGGTGCTAACAGTACCACAACCATGGGCTGTGATGAGGAGTAAATGAGCCTATGAATGTAAAGTGTTTAACATTCAGGGTGTAGTCATTACAGCTTTTATGTCATGAGCACCAGCTCTGCGCCAGGAACTGTCTGTGGCATTTGGTGTAAACCAGAGCCCTTCTAGGGAGGAAGAGAGATCACTTCCGGCTTCGCTGAGGAAAGAGTCTTCATGGGAGAGTTGGTGTCACAGTTTGGTCTAGAAGGATGGAGCTAGGGTCTTCCCTGGTGGTCTGATGGCTAAGACTCCAAGCTCCCAATGCGGGGTCCCTGGGTTTGATCCCTGGTCAGAGAACTAGATCCCACATGCTGCAACTAAAGATCCCTTGTGCCACAACTAACACCCAGCGCAGCCAAAAAAAAAAAGATGGAGCTAAATATGATAGGGAGCAACAGAGAAAGGCATTCCAGGGGGGAGGAACAACATGACAAAGGTATGGAGGTAGGAAAGCAAAAAAAAAAAAAAAAAAATGCATTGGTGGAACTCTGAAAGGACCAGAGGGACTCAATTACATGGGCGAAAGAAAGTTAGAAAGTGGGCTTAAGCCAGATGAATGACCAGGCCATAGAATGTGGCTTTTCTCCTCTAGGCAATGGTGAGTCCAGAGGGTTGTAGAGGGAGGGCATCTTGCAGGGAGATGAAGTTGCTGTACTTAAACAGTACAGTAGGGTCAGCTTCTCTAGATGATGACAACAATGAGAATGTTAAGAATGTTAATGAGAACCCTTTAGTAGATTGTAAAGTCCATTGAGCATCTTCGTGTGTCCACCTTGTCTGATCATCATGGGCCCTGAGAGGCGGTTTGAGCTGAGATGATCACCTCAACTTTAAAGACAGAGGAGGGGTTATGACTTCACCTTTCAATGCAGGAGATGAGGGGTCCATCCCTGGTAGGGGAGCTAGGATCCCACATACCTTGCAGTCAAAAAAACCAAAACTTAAAACAAAAGCAATAGGGGACTTGCCTGGTGGTCCAGTGGCTGAGACTCTGTGCTCCCAATGCAGGGTACCCGGGTTCAATCCTTGGGTCAGGGAACTAGATCCCACATGCTGCAATTGAGACCTGGCGCAGTCAAATAAATAAAAACAATAAATATTATTAAAAGAACAGAAGCAATATAGTAACAAATTCAATAAAGGCTTTAAAAATGGCCCACACTAAAGTAAGTAAATAAATAAATAAAGGTAGAAAGAGGAAGCTGAGCCAAAGTTATCCAGGGGGTGATGGCAGAACCATGGGGAGTCTTAAGTCCCCATCCTGCGCTTGGGAACCAAATCGTCTTCTTGAGCCCCATCCTCAAGTTCCCTCTTGTCAGGTGGCCTCTGCCTTGTCTTTAGGGCTTGGCAGGTCTGTAAGCGTGTGTCTGTTACAGATGAGGGTGTTGGTGCAAGGATCCCTCACGCCGCTCCCTGGTCAGGCCAGCACTGGACCTGTAGCACTTCTAGCCTGCTTTCAGGGGTCTACCCACCTAGCCTGTGGGAGATGGGCATCTCATCTTGTCCTGAGAACACTGGTGACTTGAATGGGGGAATGGGAGGGCAGGCAGAGTCCTGGGGGCATGGGGTGAGTGCATACCAGGCTCTGCCCTGTCTCCTCTGGGTTCCTGCCCCAGGAGTCTGGTTTCTGATGCCCCAGTCTTAGCTATTTCCTCTCTCGGAATCCCACCTGCTTGGCTGATAACCCCTCTGCCTCCCACACTCGGAGCTTCCTTCTCTGATGTTTGTTTTCTAGGTCCTGGAGTAGGGTTTGGGGATGATGAAGGAAAAGGTCAAGCCCCTGGCCCCCTGAGCCCTGCTCCCTGTCCCCCAGCTCTGGCCAGGCTCGCCCACCTTTGTAGGGGACACAGCCCAGGGCCTGCCTCTCGGCGTAGCCCACGTGCCGTCTGTTGGTACTGTCTGCCAGGGTCTGCCTCTCCAGAGGGATCCAGCAGCCCTGGGGGGTGACAGTGAACCTCCTGAAAAGGGCATGTCGGAAATGCAAGAGCGCTCCAAGCAGAGGGCTTTACAGGGTTCGGAACAGGTGAGGTCTTAGAGCAGGAGAGAAGGTGGCCAGGAGACTTCCTGGAGTGGGGCTCTTGCCTGGAGCTGAGCCTCGAAGGGTGTGGGGCTTGGGGTAGAGGAGGGGGCTAGGCAGGAGATCCCTCCCAGAGGGTGAGGGGCTGGTTTGAGTGGGGAGAACAGAAGAGGCGTGCACCTGAAGGCTGGTAGGTTAAAGGCCCTAAAGTCTTTTCATTCATTCATTCACTTATCCATTCAGTCATTTGCATGTATCCAGTACCTCCTCTGTGCCAAGGGCTATCCTCTGAGCTGAGGGCTTAGTGGTGAGTAGCACAGATGTGTCCCTTCCCTCTTGGAGCTCCTGGTTTAGCCGGGCAGCCGGAGGAGTAAACAGTATAGCCCAGCACACTGATTCATGCCAGCGGAGGAGGGCCGCAGGACTGCAAGAGCAGAGAGGAGGGCTTCAGCTTCAGACCTGGGGAGAAGGTGGAGAGACCCGTAGAGTGATGAGTGAGCTGGAGGAGAGGAGAGCACCCTGGAGCTGGAACCAGGGGCGGGTGGTCCTTTCAGCAGGTGAAGATCCTGGCCTGAGGGGGCGGTGGAGGGGGGGATGCTAGTGGCAGGGGCCAGACCCCACGTGTTGAGCTACAGTAAGGAATCATCTGGAGGGCACTGGGAAACCTCTGAAAGGCTTTCAGCAAGGGCTGGGTGGAATCTAATTTGTGTTTTGGAAAAATGGCTTTGGCTCAGGTGGAGATCTGGTTGGAGGGTGCCCGAGGGCTGTCCTGTACCAGATTCAGCTCTAAGACAGGGAGGGGAGCCTCCTGTGCACCAGCCCTGCGCAGGCGGGATGGCAGTCTTCTTGCTGTGACTCCGCGGGGACCAGTGGGGACTGTTGCTCAAGTCTCATACCACGGAGGTCCTGGGTGGTGGCGGGTTTTCTGGCTCATTGGGTCCCTTCCTGGGGCTGAGATGCATCTACAGGGGCATCTACCATGATGGTAGCCCTGCTTTCCAGAATCACTGGGGAGAGACAAAGTGAAGGCTTATCACTTGGATGACTGCTTCCTGGAAGGGGTGGGGAAGCCTCCTAGAGGGGGCAGGGAAGAGCCTTTTCAGGTTAATCCGTTAATACTTGCATCTCCTCCCCTCCCTCTAGGTGAATCCTTTTGTCTTTAGGAGTTAAACGCATGTGGTTCCCTTTGCTTGGGGAGGGCGGCATTGAGTGGGATTCTAAGCCTAGCCTGTGAAGGCAGGTGAGACCCGAGATGGGGGCGGAGATGAATGTCATGGTCAAGGGGACAGGTGGGGTGGGCTGGACTTCCAAGTCTGCTGCCCTGGGACGGATGGGAACCTTGTAGAGTCTGGGCCTTTGGGGTCATACCTGAGCTCATCTGCTGGCCGCCTGTGTGGGCTGGGGGATGGGAGACCAGTGGTTCAGGAAGCTTCCTTCTCCCCCACTTCTCCACACAGCCCTTCCTCTCAAGGGAGAAGGGAATGGGAGGGGAGAGGAGGGCTATTTGGCCAGGCCCCCAGTTCAGCTGAGCCTGGGAACCCTGCCCGGGGTGCCCAAGACAATGCCGGGAATGGAGGCCGGCCTGGCCAGAGTCAAGCCTGGGAGGGGGAGGAGCTGTGCCCACTTCGCTCGCAGTTCTGGCCTGGGAGCTGCACAGTGGCCCCCGGCACCAGCCCAATCCTGGGCTCTCCACTCAGTCCCGGGCATCTGCTCACCCACCCCTTGGCAGCTTCCAGCCAAACCATTCTCCCAGAGGGCTCTTTCCTACCCAGCTGGGTCCCAACCTCCTGAAGCACAAGTGTGTATGTGTGTGTATGCCTGGATGAGTGTGCCTCAGTGCCTGGGTGTATATACATGTGGGTGTGTGTATGTAAGCGTGTGAGTGTATGTGTCTTTGAGTGTGGGAGTGTGTACATAAGTATCTGACTATATCTCTGTGGGTGGGTGTATATATGTGTGTGAGTATATATAAGTATGTGTGTGTGAGTGTGTGTGTGTGTGGTGGCCAAGTGGTGAGGAGACAGATGCTGAGCCCACTCCTCCGCCCCGCCCCTCCCCTAGCCCTTGTGGTCCCGCCCGACCTCTCATATGGGGACACATGCCTGGCATTTCCTAGGACAGCCCTCATTCAAATGATTTACCCCCCTGCCCCACTAGTGCCCTTTATTTTTCCAACCCACAGAGCCTCATATTCAGTGTAGAAAATGCAGCCCCCATTTCTGGAAGCCTCCTTCTTCTCTAGGGCTGGGGGTGGACCCCACTGTTCTCTCTACCAGGCCAGGGAGGGGCCACTGCAGGTTCTAGGGATCGTGGACCTCTCTTCTGGGGCTCTGGACCCTGGGGGCATTGCAGGGTCAGGCTTTCCTGTTCCCAGCCCCAGGCCTGGCCTGGATTTCCCTGGAGGAGACAGTGGGAGGGAGCTTTGGCCCACAGAAGAACTGGGATTTGGTTGTTAAACCAAGTTGCAAGTTCAGTCCACTTTCCCGGCCAATTTTTCTTCCCGCCTCCCTTTCTCCTCAAGATAATAGAAAGGCCCGGGAGGGGTTCCTTTCTTCCTGGGCCAGCTGGGGGAGGCTGGGGGCCCTGCCATTGGTCCAGGCCCTTGTCATTGCAGGCACACCCCCTGGGCTTGGGCCAGCTCCACCCCCCACCCCCCCCACCCCCAAGGGGGAGCAGTTACATCAGCCGCTCTCGCCCTGGCCTGACTGGAGCCTTCTGTGGGAGAGGCCTCAGACACAGTCCCTGAAAGAAGCCGCTCATCCTCAAGAAGGAGCATCACCTTCGACTATGCCTCCTGCCTTCCACTCTCCCTGCCCCTGCCAGGCCTCAAACCTGGCAGCAGCAGGGATCAGCTGGCTGGGGATGATGCCTGGATGTGAGTCCCTGTTCAGTCACTTTCCAGCTGTGTGATGCTGGGCAAGTCATTTACCCTCTCTGAGCTTCAGTTTCTCCATCTGTAATTGGGATGATCATAGTGCTGTATTTATAGGTTTGTTCTAGGGATTCAATGAATTAGTATTTGTAAGGGATGAGTGCTTTCTCTTTTACTATATAAGTGCTGGTTAACTAAATACATCACTTTCCTAAATAATGGCCAGCTAAGGACCAGGTGGATATGTGGGTCACTGACCTGCTAACCTCTAGATTTGTGTCTCAGCACTTACTCTGGTCCTGGCAATTCACTCCTACCCCAGATTGACCCAGGAAGACTGTGACCTCCACTCCTTTCCTCTGCATCATTTCTCACTGACCATGGTATTTCAGGCTTCCCAGGTAACGCTGTGTATGTTAGTTGCTCAGATGTGTCCAACTCTTTGCAACCCCATGGACTGTAGTCCACCAGATTCCTATGTCTATGGGGTTTACCACGCAAGAATACTGGAGTGTGGGTTACCATTTCCTTCCCCAGGGGATCTTCCTCACCCAGGGATCGAACCTGGGTCTCTCGTATTGAAGGTAGATTTTTTTTTTTTTTTTGAAGGTAGATTCTTTACCATCTGAGCTACCAGGGAAGCCCAAAGAACCTGCCTGCCAATGCAGGAGACATAAGAGACATGGGTTCAACCCCTGGGTCAGGACGATCCCCTGGGGGAGGAAATGGCATGGCAATCCACTCCAATATTCTTGCCTGGCGAATCCCATAGACAGAGGAGCCTAGCGGGTTATAGTCCAAGGGGTCACAAAGAGTCGGACACGACTGAAGTGACTTAGCATGCACATGTATACACTTTAGCTCCTGGGGCAGGGATGTCACAGCAGAACATAGAGTCCAAAAGGGGCTCGATAGAGACTGTCTCTCACTCTGAATGTCTCTGATTGCTCTTCTAGAGGTGTAACAGGTCGCTCCCAGCACATTTGAGGTCTTGGCTGTTCTGGAGGGAGGAAGTGGCAGCTTTGCCTGCTGGGCTAGAAACATAGGTTTTGGTTTGAGGATGAAAAAGATTCACTCATGAAAACTCATCCACCTTCCTGAGACAATGATCTTGATCCACTTCCAGACCCTTGTGCTGGGCTGGGGGCTGTAGTGCGGGCACTGCTTTCCCCTTGGCGGGACTGGCAGAGGGATGCTCTGTCCTCCCAGGCTCCTCCTCCAGCCTCTCCCTCCTCCTGGGATTCAGATCCCACCAGGGGGACAGACCTCTGTCATGGGTCCCCTGCACTTCTCCTCTTTGAGGGCCGCATGGAATCTTGGGCCGCTGTGAGCCGCAGGCCGGAGCCCCACACTGCCCATCGCCTCTGCCTGGCCCCGCCATGGCCTCCTGCCCCCAGCCCCTCCTGCTTTGCTCACTTGGGGGCTGGAGACCGAGGCAGAAGCTAAGGAGGCTTTGTCCCTGGGCTGGGGGCCTGCCTGAAGCTTGACTACTTCTTTTTTAAAAAATATTTATTTATTTGGCTTCAATGGGTCTTAGTTGTGGCACATGGGATCCAGTTCACCAACAGGAATCAAACCCAGGCCCCCTGCATTGGGAGCACGGAGTCTTAAATACTAGACCACCATGAAGGTCCCGGGCTTGACCTCCTTGTGCTCAGAGACGTCCAGCTCAAGTCAGAGCTCTAACGTGGCTGCAGGGACCCTCTCTCTGCTCTTTCGTACCTGGCATTGCGGGGGGGGGGGGGGGAGGGTGCTGAAAGAGACCCAGGTGGTCTTGGTCACCAGGGAGCTCCAAGATGAGTGAACAGTCCTCCAAGAGAAACCGAGGGCCGTGAGAGTGCTCCCTCCCTCCTACAAGTGTCTGCTGAGCCCACCATAGGAGCAGGCCATGCTGGGCCCTGCCATCAGTGAAGGCTCACCCTGCTCTGTGGGACCCACACAGTGCTTTCTTTCTATTGCATCCTGCAGCTCTGCCCACTGGGGGCTCCCTCAGGCCTGTATCTCCACCCACAGACTCTGAGCTCCCCGAGGGCAGCGCCTCTCACAGGGCCTTCTGCACTGGTTCATTCAGTCAGTCAGTCCCTCGGGGGGCCCTGCTAGGTGCTGGGCTCTTGTGAGTGGGCCATTCACACCC